CTTACAACAATTCATTTAACAACTGTTTGAAGTTACAATGGTGCTGAAAAACTGACACGCGACCAGTCCTCAGACTTATGACCTTTGCAGCATCCCTACCATCATGTAATCAAAATTCAGGTGTTTGGCAACTAGCTTGTATTTATAACAACCAACAACCTATACCAGGTTGTTGCTAACCTTTTTGGGCTCTTGTGCCAAAAATTGTGCGCGTGCTGGCATGCGCGCGCTCATGTGCCAGCATCCAGAAGGCAATATGCACCCACACACACACGCCCCCTGTGCATGCACGCACAATCCCCCCACACTGCCCCCCTTGGCCCCCTTACCTGTACTGCGCCTCACAGCTGATTTTTTTGGCCGGTTTGAGGCCTTTTTCAGTCTCCCAGAGGCTTGAAAAAAGCCTCTGCAGGTTTTGCAGGCCGAATAATAGGCCTGTTTTGTCACTTCCGGCATTACAGGAAGTGATGAAACAGGCCTATTTGGCCTGCAGAGTCTTTTTTCAAGCCTCTGGGAGACCGAAAAAGGCCTCAAACCAGCCAAAAATCAGCTGTGAGGCACGTGCATGCACAGTGAGGTAAGTTTGCCTGCGGCTCGTGGGCCGGCACAAATGGCTCTGCGAGCCACAGGTTTGCCATCACAGATCTATACCATTTGTCTGAAATGCTATAGGGTTTCCTTTCTGAGCAGGGGGTTGGACTAGAAGACCTCCAAGGTTCCTTCCAACTCTCTTATTCTATTCTAACATGGCAGCATCTGGGGTGATATGATGGCCATTTGTGACTTTTCTAGGGATCTTCTGACAAGCGAAGCCAATGGGGGAGAAAGCCAGATTCACTTAAGAACCACACAATTCACTTAATGACTGTGTGGCCAAAAAAAAAGGTTGCAATCCATTCAATGAGCACATCGCTTATTGACAGATGTTCCAATCCCAATTATGGTTGCAAATTATGGATTATCTCTATATAGATCTGTCCATAATAGCATAACATCGTGGATCTAGTGAGCAAGTTGACCTGCTGTTCAGGAAAACTTATTTGCTGGTTCTAAAAGGTGCTATCAGATTCCTTTTGATTTATGGACATGCATAAATGAAATTGCCAGGAGTCCAGTTAGACTCAAAGAAAGCTCTACCTTCTCACTAGGAGGTAAACAAGTTTACAGTCCCTAAGATTGGACGTGTTTTTTTTTTCACCATTAGCCACTGAACCATTTCCTGTTCGTAGTAAGAAAGTTTGGGTAAAGAGCATCCATTCAAATCTAGCAGTAAAAATAAATTCTTGGACTGAGAACCTCTTCCAGATATTCTAGGTTTTCAAGCCAAGCTAGATTACTTCCAGAGTTATTAACTTGCATAGGGAAAACTCAGGATTTTATATAAAATTAAAGTAGATCCCATAATCCTGATTTTAACTGTAACCCTGACCAAATTTATTTGGAAGGAAGCGTTGGTGTAAAGCACTTATACTTCTAAGGAGTGGGTTGCACATCATGGGCAATGGAATAGCAATAGAAATAGCACTTAGATTTATATACCGCTTCCCAGTGCTTTACATTCATCTCTAAGCGGTTTACAGAGTCAGCATATTGCCCCTAACAATCTGGGTCATTTTACCGACCTCAGAAAGATGGAAGGCTGAGTCAACCTTCAGCCAGTGAGAATCAAACTGCTGGCAGTGGGTAGAGTTAGCCTGCAGTCTCAAAAGCACTTAGACTTATATATTGCTTCACAGTGCTTTACAGCCCTCTCTAAGCAGTTTACAGAGTCAGCAACTTGCCCACCACAATCTGCATCCTCATTTTACCCACCTCGGAAGGATGGAAAGTTGAGTCAACCTTGAGCCTGGTGAGAACTGAACTGCCAAATTTACAGGCAGCCAGCAGCCAGCAAAAGCAGCCTGCAGTACTGCAATCTAACCACTGCACCACCGTGGCTCATACACCGAGGTATACATTTTATTAACACACCGTTAAGCAAACTGATTTGGGAAGTCAAGTTAGTTGAATGGTACAAGAGTCCATTTAGTGACCAAAGTTACAATGGCACTGAAAAAGTGACATGACCTTTTTCACACCATTGCAGCATCCTCATGTTCACTGTGAACAAAATGTGGGTGCTTGGCAGCTAGTTCATATTTATGATGGTTGCAGTGTCCTGGAGTTAGGTGATCAGCTTTTGTGACTTTCTCTTCAGCAAAGTCAATAGGGAAGCCCAGATTCACTTAGCAACCAAGTTACTAATAACTACAATGACTCATTTAACAACAGTGGCAAGAAAGGTGGTCAATGGGGCAAAACTCACTTAGCAAATGTCTCACTTAACAACATAAATGTTGGGCTCCATGGCGATCATAAGTCAAGGACTACCTGTATCCCAAAGTTGGTTCTGAAGAGGGAAGGGGTAAAAAGTGATCAATTACAGAATTCAGTAAAAGTTATCACAAGAACAGGAGTCATTGGCAAACACAATAGAACCAGAGGGATTCCTTCATCCCTCTTTAGATGAGATCCATTACTAGCCTGATATTGAAAGGGTCACCAAAGCAGCAGAATTACATGGCCAGCATTAAGACTGGGGCTCCAAAGCCACCACTGAGTCAAAGATGAGTCATGAATTTCCAAAGGTTGATGAATTCAGAATAGTTTCCCTGGCATCATTGATAGGTGGTGCTAAGTCAGCATGGAATTTTGGAAAGAAATCAAACATGTCCCTCAGCTGATGATGGCTTCATTACTTTGCAACATATCTGTCTACTGCCTTTCTTTATCAAGTGGAGCAGTGGTGGGATTCAAATATTTTTTACTACCGGTTCTGTGGGTGTGGCTTGGTGGGCGTGGCAGGGGAAGGATACTGCAAAATCTCCAATCAGAGGTGGTTCTCTGAACTACTCAAAATTTCTGCTACCGGTTCTCTAGAACTGGTCAGAACCTGCTGAATGCCACCTCTGGAGTGGAGGCAAGTAGTATCTCTTCCAACTAACAGTTTTATTCAAAGGTACAATTTCCCACGAACTGCAATCACTTCATCAGAGCCATAGTATTAGTCTGAAAGGATGCTTCAGACTCCAGTGCCCCCCACCATTGATTAACAGGGCTCTCCTCTGACAATGCCTGTGAAATATAGAATGGAGAGAACAAAGAGTTAGAAGAGACCTTGGAGTTCTTCTAATCCAACCCCCTGTTGGAGCAGGAGACCCTATATCTAATAGGGTATAATAATTTGATCATTCCTGATAGGACTGATTAAATTATTATACTGGGATGCATCATAACCTGGGATGGTTTAAGTTTTAGGTAGGAAGGTTGAAGATTCCCACTATCTATTGTGGAAGGTGTAAGATATATTACTTTTACAAAAAGACTTTGGCATCTCTCAGAGAAGGAAAATGGACCCCTGATGCAAAGCAAGTTTTAAGGCATCAGCATTTCAGTGTTATCACAGATCCACCAACTCATCTTGAAGAAACCGGTGCTGCAATCCAATCCATGCTTGTACCAGAGTGGAAAATTTAGAAAATCTGTTGGCTCAGTGGGACAGGGTTTCCAAGTATATATAGAAAGGCAGAGTTGCTTTCATAAATTCCATCAAGAGACCAAGCAGTGCAAAACATACAGCTATGTATTTGCTTTAGTTTATCCCAACCCATAGAGCAGCTGGAAAGAGTTCATCACGTCAGGGTAGTCATACAGTGCATAGAATTCCCCAACCTGAAGTGAAGTCATGGCTTATTGTAAATAATTAATCAGCAGTAGGTAAAAGTTGCTAAGTTAGCTCAGTGGCTAAGGCGCTGAGCTTGTCGACCAGAAAGGTCGGCAGTTCAGCAGTTCAAATCCCTAGCTCTGTGTAACAGAGTGAACTCCCACTACTTGTCCCAGCTTCTGCCAACCTAGCAGTTTGAAAGCACGTAAAAATGCAAGTAGAAAAATAAGGGACCACTTTGGTGGGAAGGTAACAGTGTTCTGTGCACCTTTGGCATTTAGTCATGCCAGCCACATGACCACGGAGACGTCTTTGGACAGCACTGGCTCTTCGGCTTTATAACACAGATGAGCACCACCCCCTAGAGCCAGAAACGACAAGAAGACAAGAACGTATGTGCAAGGGGAACCTTTACCTTTAAGTAAAAGTTACTAATTCAAATAATCGTGCAATTTCACCATTCTTGGGAGGTAATCTGACAGTTAATCTCAGGTTTTCATCGAATGAGACCACAGTCCACAGGCTATTTCCTTTCCGTCATCCTTTTCTAGGAAAAGTTATTATTTACATTGGTCTGGTTACCGGTTTATCAGTTTGGTCAAGTGGTTAAGGCACCAGACTATAAACCAGGAGACTATGAATTCTCGTTCCACCTTAGATATGAAAGCTGGCTGGGTGATTTTGAGCCAATCACTAGGAGATGGTGAGGTCTAGTCCTGCCTTAGACATAAAAGCCAGTTAGGTGGCTTTTTGGCCAATCTCCAGGAGCCAGTGAGTTCTAGTCCCTCCTTAGGTATGAAATCTGGCTGGGTGACTTTAGGGCAGTCTCTCTTTCTCAGCCCAACCCACATCACAGGGTTGTTGTTGCACGGAAGATAGGAGGAGGAGGAAGTATGTTTGCTGCCTTGAGTTATTGATAAAAAAATAAGACAGAATACAATACATAAATTGTAATTACTTTGGACGAATTTTCTCCACTCCCTTTCCTTATTCACTTCAAAATTATCCTGTATCCATTCAAGGATTTCATCACTGGATATCAAGTTTATGCCTGTTAAAACTTTCTTTCGTATCAGCAGTTCTCTGCCTGCTAGGCTCAGATGGGTTTCCATCCATCCTCCTGTTCCTTTCCTACACTCAGGTGGTAGCCCAGGTAATTTCATCCTTACATATGTTGGGCTCAGTCTTAATACCCCTTTTTTAAGAGGTCGCTGGCCACTAAATGCAAAGGGATGCTTCCCAACAATGCAACCTGATCAGGCCATACATTTCAGGTCTCTTTGGCAGCCGAGCCCACCTTGATAACACCAGAGGCATCTCCATGCTTGTAGACAATCAGTCCAGTTGAGTTTGGTCTTAAGATCAAGGCGCCGTTTGGACGAACTTCAAAGTAGCTGGATCCTCCCCACTGCTCTCCAGCACAAATATGAAAAAGATAAAACGAAATCAGCCTGTACTGCAATGGCCCTGTGCAACCTGACAATACGCCAATAAGAGGCAGGCTTGAAATGTTCCAAAGTGTCTTAATTGGTAGGGATCTTCTGCTTGGTAGTTTTAACAGAACGGCAGTGTTGGAAGGGACCTTGGAGGTCTTCTAGTCCAACCCCACCCCACCCCGCCGCCGCCTTCAAGCAGGACACCCTATACCATTTCAAACAAATGGTTGTCCGATCTCTTCTTTCACAAAAAAAGAGATCCATAGCTTGGCGATACTCCACACCTTCGTTTGCCTCTCTAGCCTTGCACAAGGGTTGTGTGTGTTCCCGCAAGGTGCAGATTTACCAAAATTCACACATTCTCTGGGTTGCACAATACGCTGAATTACACCCGGACCAAACAAGCTGAGTTCACACAACCAAGTAAAAACCAAGGCTGGGGAGGACAACAAACCCTAACTGAGATAAACCCTTAAAAATCAAGGCTCTGCACCCGCCAGGTTTATCACCCACCGGCCGGATTCTCTAGGTGTGTGTGGTATCCTCGTTACCCCCTCTGCAAATTGCTCCCTACTTCTCCCCTTCCTCAAATTTCTCCTCCACTTCTCACGTTCCGCCTCATACCCGCGGATCGGGTTGCCTAGGTGGACCGCAAAGGGGTTTAAAATTGCGCCAGGGCGCGTTCGTGCCTCCCGCACTCCGATCCTGCCTCCTCCCGGTTCGCCCCTCCGGGGGATGAAAGTCAAAGTCCCAGCGGAGAAAAAGAGGGTCTCTCTCTCTCCCCCCTTCCTCCCTCTCTCTCTTTCCCTCCCTCTCTCTTTCTCCCTCCCTCTCTCTTTCTCTCTCTCAGTCTTTCTCTTCCTCCCTCCCTCTCTCCCTCCATTTCTCTTTCTCTCTCCCCCCCCCCCCTCGCGCGCTGTTTTTCTTTCTCTCCCTCCCTCCCTCTCTCTCTCTCTCTCTCTCCCTCCCACCCTCTTTCTCTCTCTCCAGCTTCTGCAAATCTTACTTACGGAGCAAGAGGGCATAACAAGCCCGCAGCGTCCTGAAACGGACTCTACCAGCAGCAACTGCAGCAGCAGCAGCAACAGCCGAAAAGTTGAAACTTCCCTCCGCGGCGGGCAAAAACCAACTGAGCCTCTTGCAACTTTAGCGAAGTGGGTTGTAGAGCCGCAGGGCGGGGCGGCGGCGACCCAAAAGGAAACCGCGGCAGGACCAACCCCTTAAAGGAACACGCGAGCCCTCCACCCCCCGACCCCACCCGCCCCCCCCCCCCCCCCCCGAGCCTGGGACCCCGGGAAGGACTCCGCTGGCTTCTCGCTTTCTGTTTTTTTTTTTTTCCCTCGCGCTGAGATTTTCGGCAACACCCGTCTCGTCTGAAGGTGGGGAAAGGTCCCCCGGGGCAGGGGCAGGGGCAGAGTTAGCCTTCCCTAATTCTTATTCACGCCTTTGCTTCAGAGGGAGCTTGTCTTATTTACGGCTTGGCTTCGGCGCTTTAAATATTTGTCGGCTGCTTCCAGTTAGAAACATGCCAAATAATTTTTATTTGTTTTTATTTTTTTGGTAACAGCTACTGCGAGAGTTTGCAAGGGTTACTGCAAGTTTTAACAGGTCTTGTGGCCAGGATTGTCCTTTCGTTATTTATTTATTTATTTTATCGAGGAGGAGGAGGAGGAGGAGGAGGAGGAGGAGGAGGAGGAGGAGAGAATATTGGATGAAAAAAAAAAGCACAATATTTTCATCGTTTAAGCATGTGTGCGAGAGGTTATTACATAACCCTGATCCATAACAACATCTGATCTGAACTGATCTGGACCTCCAGAAACTGTGGATGCTCCAACACTGGAAGTTTTCAAGAAGAGATTGGACAACCCTTTGTCTGAAGTGGTGTAGGGTTTCCTGCCTGAGAAGGGGGTTGGACTAGAAGATCTCCAAGGTCCCTTCCAACTCTGTTATTCTATTCTATTATGTTCATCTTCATAATCATAAGGGAATCATAGTGAAATTGAAGGAGAAAATGGGTAAACAAAGGCTTATTCTTTTAAAAAAATGACTTTTCCCCTTATGTTGAAAATATCAGCTTACTCCAACACTTAACGTTTTCATCATTAAGCTTAAAATGTACATCCCAAAAACGATAGATGGCATCCAATTTTCTACCAGGGAAAAACCATTTGTTTTCCCAATCAATTTACACCAAAATGTATTATTGAGCAGTGGCCAAGAAAGATGGCTTGGGTTTTGCATTAGAATTGCTTCTTGGGTTCTAGCCATGGTTAAAAGCCACATGTGTTGGACCGCAGTTCCTGTTACCCCAGCCAATCTGGTTATGCTAGCTGGGGATAATAAAAATTGCAGTCTGCTTGATTGGGGTTGCCTAAGGCTATCTTAAAGCCATTTCCATAATATTCTTATTCTACATTTGTGTATAGTATCGGAATAGGCATGTGGTAAGCTTTTAGCAGTTTTTAAGGAATACCTTTTCAATGGTATTCTGATCTTCATTATCATGGAGCGTTTAGGATTGCACAAAGAGTGGAAAGACCCAGATTCAAGTTCTCATTTTCTCCAGGAAGTTTCTCTGCTGAGTCTGCATTAGTCATGATCTCTTAGGCAATCTTTCTTACCTGGAATAGTGAATGATGTATGATCCCTTGAGCAAAAGGAGAAAAAGAAAAAGGTGAGGTGAGGTGTAAATAAGCAATAAAAGTGATGGCCTTTGCTGCAGGTGCTGTCTGACGTCCACATACAAGGCAGAATCTTCCAAGAAGGATGCTTTGTTTGAGTTATCACTCTTAAGACCTCGGGGAATGGATGATGGATAAAACTGGGAGAGCAAATTCCTTTGAGTGTGGCTGATTCTGGGCAGATAGAATGAAGCTTGCACTGCATAAAATTCCTGTCTTTAGACGTTCTTCAACTTCTGAAACCATTGGTAGGTAGCAAGTAGGAAAATAAGGAACCAAGGGTTTGCTCATTTCATCCCTCCATTTTCAAAAGGGGTTTCCTGCTTAAATTTTGAATGCTAATCTTATGTTAACAGCATGAGAAAAGAACTTTGTTGAAATGAAGCAAATTTGGCAGGATGACCTCTTGTCGGAGTTATCTTCTGCCTCATCAATCATCTCTTTAGATGCCTGATCTGATGGTAGGCCCAGTAGCTTTCCACTCATGTGCCCAAGGGTGTTTTTTTTTCCAGGTCTTGTGGTCACAACACTCTGAGCCATAATTCCATTGTCATTTGGTCTGGCTTAGCACATTTATTTCACATCAATGCTGTGGTTTTCATTTTACCACATCTACCGTGTTTCTCATATAATAAGGCCGGGTCTTATTTTTTTTTTGAGCCACGAAAAAATGGCTAGGCCGTCTTTTCGGGGGTGACTTAATTCCCCCCCCCTTGCATCTTCGGGCGGGCAGCGACGGCTTGGATGTTGACCTCGGCGTTGGTGGGGCACTTCATATCGGAGTCAACGCAGGCAGCACCATATCCGGGTGTGCAACAAAAGTACTTCCTAATGACAAGCCCCCCCACCATTCCCCCCATTTTGCATGTTTTAATATAGGCCTTAATTTGGGGGGAGGGGCTTAATTTCATTTCATGCCTATAAAACATGCTGGGACTTCCTATTGGGGGAGGCCATATTGTTGGAGAAACAGGGTAGCATGGAATTTGAATGTAACCTATTCTTTCCACATGTGCTTCAGAGGTGAGTATTCGGCAGGTTCTGACCAGTTCTGGAGAACCGGTAGCGGAAAATTTGAGTAGTTCAGAGAACCGGCAAATCCCACCTCTGACCGGCCCCGCCCCCCTCTATTCTCTGCCTCCCATTGAGTCCCAGCTGATCGGCTGGGTCTTCTTTGGTTGCCCTGCACAGGAGAACAGAACTGGAAAGCAGGTTAGTGGGCTGGGGTAGGAATGGAGATTTTACAGTATCCTTCCCATGCCACACCCACCAAGCCATGCCATGCTCACCAAGCCACGCCCACGGAATCGGTAGTAAAAATGTTTGAATCCCACTACTGATCTGTCAATAAGGCCATCAACTGCTCAAAGAACATGTCAATTAATCCATCCACAGTCCAAATCGCCCACATGATCTAAATTAGTTTTAATACAGTGTTCTTTAACCTTGGCAACTTTAAGATGCCAAGTATGCTGGCTGGGGAATTTTGGGAGTTGAAGTCAATCTTTCCATTCCCCCCACCCATTCCTGTCAGAACCTATCATTCCTCCGCCCACCAACCAATCTCAACTGTCAATAACTCTTTCCATCTCCCACGCCATCCAATACAACCGATGAAGCTTCCGAGATAGGAAGCAAAAGGTCTTTTTCTTCTACCTCCTCAAAACAATCAGTCCAGTTGCCTTTTCAAAAAATCAAAACCACCTTTTGATACAACTACAACCTATGAGAATCTTCATAGATACACATCATAAAGTTGCCAAGTTTGACAAACACTGCTCTGATACAATTTTTGGCAATTGTCCATGGAGATTCTCAGCCATCCATGTCATGGTTGTCCCAAAGGGCTTTCTGGTTTTTCTTTGAAGATGTTTTGCTTCTCATCCAAGAAGCTTCTTCAGCTCTGACTGGATGGTGGGAAAAGTCAGAGCTGAGGAAGCTTCTTGGATGAGAAGCGAAACATCTTCAAAGAAAAAACAGAAAGTACAGTTGCCTCTTGGAAAAATAAAACCTTTGGGACAATTTTTGGTAATGTTTTTTGCCATCCTGACCAGAAATTATGGAAAGACTGAAAGAAAATGGATGCAGTAGAGGCTCATATTTGGAATAGACTCTCCTCTTCGAGCAGGGGGTTGGACCAGATGACCTCTAAGATCCCTTCCAACTCTGTTATTCTATGTCTATGTTCAAATCTGCAGCAAAACATTGCGACTAGATTTCCTGGGCCCTGATATTACGAAGGACAATTTTTGGTGATTTCACTGGTATTGGTTGAAGGGCTGAGTTTATCAAGAAAAAGCTTCCCAAAAAAGTTCAGGTTAGTCTCTTAAATGGGGACTCTGGAAGCCAGAAGAAAACCAATATCCGATCTCAAGCTAGTTAAGATGAGTTAAGCTTTGATGGTGTGAATTTCAGCTGAACACATCTGTAAGGATTCTGATTGGGGGAGAGGGCTATGGTTTCTTCTGCCTTCCAGGCACAAATTCCTGTCTTCTGCCTGTCGCTGCTTAACTGCTGGACTGTTGTACCAAAAGGAATTGGAAAATTGTGTGCACTGTGACCTCTCGGCCCTTTGGGCTGCAGCTTAGCAGGGCAACTTTGTTATTCTAGGATGAGGAAATGGGGTTTGGATCCAGGCAAAACTCTGGAATCAGGAACTGCTCAAAGTAGAATGAAAACAGCCTTTGATTTTAAATAACAATAATAACAACAACAGCAATAAAACAACAACAATAAAAACAACAATAATAAAGCATCTGCCCGGCTTGGAGCACCACATGTGGATGTCACCCTAAATCTGAGGATTTTTGCAAGCAAGGTCTGTGTTCTGGTGTTCAGCTATGGAGTATCTCTTCCCCAGACAGCTGTTTCTGCTTATTTAATTAATATGGACATGTTAGCGAGTCTCTGGTGGCTTCCCGAGACCTCCCTTCCTGGCTCACTTGCTCTGCACGGGGGCAGCCCTAGCCAACTAGCTATCTCTCACCCAGATGCTGCTCCTTCCCAGACTCTTTCTTTGATCTTGGGGGCCCAAGTATCCTGGCTAAAGGCTGGAGTGACGCTATTCTCTTTCTGCTTCTCTGATAAACAGCAAGTGGCTTTATCAGACAAAACCAGTCTGTCTCCGGATTCCCAAACAAGGAAGCCTTGTCTAGAAAGGATGAGGGTTAAAATTTCTTTGCTTCTGGGGTTACCTTTGGAAGGTACCCTGTACTGGACAGGCAAAGTTTGATGCCTAAGTACTTCTTATTTCGGCAGGCTTCTCTCTTGCACCTGAGACCTGTTCCTTGGTATTTGCAGTCTCACCTAAAAGTGTTATGTTGAAAGGAGGAGGAGGAGGAGGAGGAGGAGGAGGAGGAGGAGGAGGAGGAG